TGCGCCATGATTATGACTAGCTATTTTGACTTTTGTGAGCACTGCACTCACGTTTGTTATTCATGGGTTTCATACTTGCATTTGATTTTGTGACTTTGAGTCGTGTTTGGTTAGCATAACCCTTGTGGACTATGCGTCTACATTTGTTTCGTAGTTCAAGCGGCGTTTGGTTACTTACCCTTATAGACTGTGTGTCAACGTTTGTTATTTATTCTAATAAGTCCTTATAATTATGAGTTTTTAATTATTCGATGGATCTATTTTCATTGATTTTGATTAATCACATATTTATAATAATTTAATGCAATTATTTACTTTATTGAAATTATATGATAATGACATTTGATATGATATTTTAATAAATCAAGAATTTATTTAAAGTTATATAAAGTTCTTTTATGACAAAGTTTATTAAATATTTGTTTGTGAAAGTTGTTATTTTTAGCACATAATCATGTTAAACTTTCTTTTTATACATATTTAATTATTTATTGTTGGAATGCTATTCACTAGAAATTTATTTTGGTCTCAAATTTATTATCTGATGCTGAACCTATTGCTGACCTTTGAGGGGCATACAACTGTTCCGAGTAGAATTTTGTTTAGCACTATCCTCCTTCAATGTAAATATTTGAATTCATGTATTTTGTTTTGGAAGTAAGGTTAGATGCTCCACATAGCATATAACTAGAATTTTATTTTGATATATGTTATTGCTGGCTAGAAGAAGTTGAGGTCCTGATTGATATTATATTTTTTGTAAAATAGAGTGTTGTAGAATTTTTTGAAAGATTCTACTTATTGGGGAGGTTCTATTGAAATTTTAACGAAAATATTGAAACTTTTATTATAATAATTTTTATTAAGTATATCATAATTTTTATTACAAATTTAACTATACTTTAAAAATAGAAAGATTTCTCAATTTAGGACTTAAAGAATATGTGATAAAATTCACATTCTATGTCAGTAACCCTTTATTTTCGGACGTGACAAAGGTGAATATCAGGAAAAGAGTTTATTATCAGGATAGAATCTGAAAATAATATTACGTATTAAATATGATCTGTACTCCCTTCATTTTTGAATATTAGGGAAAAATTATTAACTCATGAAAGTTGGTTAAGTGCAGTAATAATGTATGAAAATAAAAAACACCATTGGCTGATCAAACAAGTATGCATTTGTAATAACTCAAGAATTTAAATAAGATTAAAATTTATAATTAAATATTTTGATTGCATTATTGTTTTATTTTAGAGTAGATTCATTAAAAAAAAAAACAAGAACGATGGTTTAGTGATATCTATTATTGGGTGTTTAAGTCTAGATTCTAAGTTTGAATTCGGTGGTGTAAGATAGGGATTTATTTTATTTTACTTTTGTCTTGATTTGGCTAAAATTACTATAGTGCCCTCTTAGTATTAAAAAAAAACACATTAAATTAAATAAAAAGGCAAAAGAGAAACCAACACGCATGCTCCTCTGCCCAAAAATCTCTGCTTTTCGAGTTCTCCAGACCTATAGAGAGAGTTTGAGAAGGGAAAAATAGATTCTTTGTTCCTCTTCTCGATTCCTTCGAACCATTTGCAGACCATCACCGTGAATCTGTTGTTGTCAGAGTCTGAACCATGAGTTTGCCCTCTCCCCTACATTGCGTCAGTCCCTCTTCCCCTCTTCTGTCACACAATGACAACACCCCAATCTCCTCTCTACTGTTACGTTGCTCGATGCTCAGATTATTCCTCTTCCTGGTTCAGCGTCATTGGATCTGCTGGTTCATGAGCTTCGCCTGCAGCTGCCGTGAAGCCTTACCGTGAGTTCTTCCCCTGTTTGCTATTTGTTTGCTGTTCATCTGCGTCCCTGTTCGTTCTTCTTCTATTTCTGTTTTGTCTTGCTGAAAGTCATTCTCCCCTTTCGTCCAAGCTGCTGTGGGTTAGTGTAAGAGGTTCCTTTCTTCTTCCCCTGTTCAACGCGGCAAATTCATCCTTCCTCCTTTCCTGTTCTACCGTAATCGATTGAAGGTGTAGAGCTTCAAATCCCCTACCTCTTTGCTGTTTTGTCTGTGTGATATTTGGCTTGGCTGTGATGTTTATTTTTGCTGTTGTTATGCATGATAGAAGGGAATACATGAGTTTAACTAAACTAAACTTGAATTTAAGAGCATGATTGTCGATAGATAATTTCTCTTATGTAGATTATTGTAGAAGAAGAATTAGATTTAACTTTCTTTGATCTCAATTGGCTTGCGTGAAGGGAAAAAAAATTGGGAAGCTTGGAAATTTAGATATTAATGAAATTTTTAAGAAAATGAGGAAGCTTGTATTATAGTTGGACATGAAGGCATGGAAGGTCTTTGACAAAATGTTTGATAGAAAGAACTTTGCTTGATTTTGTAGTTTATAAAATTTCATTAATTTTTATAAGAAGTATGTTTGGTTTAGGTACTATTTAATTGCGAATTAACTTGAGTATTATCTAGAAATTAGATAATTATGGAGATAATGTGTAATTAATGGATTTTTTTTTTTTTAGCTATATGGTTGTTGATTAATGGTTGAGTAAGAGATTTGATTGCTAAAAAGCTCAATTGAGTGATTGAAAATGATACACACTAGGCGTTTGACAAAAGGCTAAGGAAGAGATTGAATTTTAATTGAGTAATTAGCTATTTTTACTTTATGTGTAAATATTGGTTCTGAGGCTTTAAATTTATTATAGTTAAATATTTGTTATGTTAATTTGGAATAAAGTGTTATTGAACTTATTGAATGTCTATTAAGACCCTATTATATTTTATAGGATGTCTAGAGAAAGGGGATCTTGATAAAAGTGATAGGGAGTAAGTTATAAATTCTAGGGAGTATTTCAGGTAAGTAGATAGCTTCCCAACTGATATTTCATTAAAATCTTTTTTATTCAAATATTACATTTTTATGCAAATTCTTTTTACGACAACAATGTGATTATTGGATATTTGTTGATTAACATTTCTTTATTTTGAGAAATTAGCTTTACCAAATTTAAAATGTTATTTGATCAATTAAGTCAAGTTTGAACTTTGATTATGAGATTTTTATTTTATCAAATATTGGATTGATATAGAGAATGATTCATGCGAGTTTGACGTTGAAATTTTTTTTATTCAATAAATGCAAGCATGAGCATCGGATATGAAATTTGATTCTAGCAAGTTTTAATGCTTAAAAGTGTTCATGCGAGTTTAAATTTGAGAATGAGAATTGTATCTTGAAAGTAATGATTTTCTCACATGTTTGAAAATGATTTTAAAAAGGGACTTTATATGGAACACTGGTTGCTAATGGCAGTTCCGTTAGCCCTTGGCGCACCATGGTACACTTAGCTAGCAGGGTGTTTATAGGAGGTGCTAGCCTCGTGCGATGGCCAATACACGTGGACTGGAGGGATGATTGTTCGTGAGCATCGTACTCATGTTTGTTTCGTGTCTTTGGCCACGTTTGGTTTGTATTACTCTCATGGATTATGTGTCCACGTCTGTTTTGTGGGTTCGACTGCGTTTGGTTACGTACCCTTGTGAATTGTGTGTTCACGTTTGTTTTGTGGCATAAGCCACATTTGGTCATTTACCCTCGTGAATTTTGTGTTCACGTTTGTTACTTGTTCTGATAAATCTCTATAATTATGAGTTTTTAATTATTTGATGGACCTGTTTTTCATTGATTTTGATTAATGGCATATTTATAATTATTTAATGCAATTATTTGCTTTATTAAAATTACATGATAATGAAGTTTGATATGGTATTTTAATGAATCAAGAGTTTATTTAAAGATACATAAAGTTTTTTTATGACGAAGTTTATTAAATATTTGTTTGCAAAAATTATTATTTTTAGCACACATATTTATGTTAAAATTTATTTTTATACATATTTAATTATTTATTGTTGGGATGCTATTAACTAGAAATTTATTTTGATCTTAGATTTATTATTTGAAGCTGATCCTGTTGCTGACCTCTAAGGGGCATACAATTGTTCTGGGTGGAATTTTGTTAGTACTATTTTCCTTTTTATGCAAATATTTGAATTCATGTATTTTATTTTGAAGTAAGGTTAGATGCTCCACGTAGCCTATAACTAGAATTCTATTTTGATATATGTTATCTGCTAGCTGGAAGAAGTTAATCTCTTGATTGATATTATATTTTGTGTAAGATAGTGTGTTGTAGAATTTTCAAAAGATCCTATTTACTGAGATGGTTCTGCTCAAATTTTTACAAAAATATTGAAACTTTTATTAAAATGATTTTTTTATGTCATAATTTTTAATACAAATTCAATTATGTTTTAAAAATAGAAAGATTTTTTAATTTAGGGCTTAAGGAATGTGTAATGGAGCTCATATCTTGTATCGGTCACTTTTTAATTTTGGGGTGTGACAGTATTAATGTTTTGTCACGTGAATGAAAACTTTGATTTATGAGAGATAATTAGGAAAGTTGTGATAAATGCTGATTGATATGTGTAATTTTGTTTATAAAAAAAACAAAATATCATGTGATAGTTTCTCTATATTCAGAAATGAACTACGAAGTATAATTAATTAGTCATCCTACCTGACTGTAAAGCATCTTCTGATCATTCAGACGTGGTTGTCTTTGACTTTATCTTAATAATACAACCAACCATGTTGCCATTTTTTAATCAGAAGATTAAAGTCAATTCATCCCTTAAACTCTTCTAGCAAGTGCGTGCGTGCGTGCGTGCGTGCATGCGTGTATTTACAATAAGCTTTCTGCTTTGACATTCATTTTCAGGTACGACGCGGCTTTGAACACAAATACCAAAGGACCTTCTCGTCTTCTAAACTTTGCAAAGAAATGCAAGAATCTTCGTCTTTTCCTTCACATATCAATAGGCCTCTATATATATTACTAGAACACAATATAACATCTGTTTCATTTTATAATCGTAGAGAAATTTACTTAAAGACTATATATGCGATATTCAGCTTCTGTTGGTGATGGAGAAAGACACGGGATGATAATGGAGAAGCCACTTTACATTGGACAAGGAAGAGCTAGGGCAATCACAGAACATGATATAAATTCTGAAATAAAGTTGGCATCAGAAATGACGAATTCTGTGAAACGGAGTCAAGCTACTCAGAAGATGAAAGAGTTAGGCATTGAGAGGTACGTACGTCGTTCAAAACATTACACTTTACATAAGTCTCTTTGAAATGAAATAATTAATAGAGAAAGGAATAAGTTTTTCTTATGGTCTATTCTAGTCGTGATTAATACAGCAATAAGATTTTCAATTAAGTTCTCTTGCTTTTAGAAGTGTACGTAATGCATGTATGAACAGGGCAAAGATGTATGGATGGCCAAACACGTACTCATTCACAAAGGCAATGGGAGAGATGTTAATAAATAACTTCAGAGATGGCGTGCCAGTGGTCATACTTCGTCCTTCTGTGGTTGAAAGCTCTTACAGAGAGCCATTTCCTGGTTGGATTCAGGGATACAGGTGCTAGCCTATCATATATGCCTTGCCATTTTCTCATATCAGGGTTTCACCATTTATTATTTATTAAATACAATAATCAAATTTCGTCTTAGAAAAATTTTGAAGTTGTTTAATGTATAAGAGAACCTGTTGGTCAAAAAAATGTATAAGAGAACCTCGTATGATTTCAGCAGAAGACTTTTCCTGCCAAATTTTATGTATGTTACTTATTTAATTTTTAATAAAATTTGGAACAAAAATACAAGGAATTAAGTTGTCATATTTTGATCAAAACATATCGATGACAGATGAATTCACACTCTTTATAACAATGATCAACAAATTAATTTCAAGCCCAACGACAAGCATAAATTGATTAATCACAATAATCATCTTCTACTATTTTCTTCTTCTCTCTGTGCTCCATTCCATCACATGTCCACTTTTTCATCATGAAACAGAGTTCTTGAGCCATTGATATTTAATTATGGGAAGGGTAATCTCCCAGGATTACTTGGAGACCCCCAAACTGTTGTAGATTTGGTAAGTTCTCTCAAATCCTTTGGCTATTGAGTGTTGAATCATTTATATACTCTTTAAAAACCAAGCTTTGAATTACCAACGGAGCTTGAGTTTAGTAAAAGAAACTAGTCCTTTACAACGTGGTGAACCAATGTTAAAATCTTTGCTAATAGAGATACTCACATTTAGTACTCGACAATGACTCAAATAGGATTGGCTTCAATGGAGAGATAACCATAGGAAACCCAAAAAAAAAAAAAAAAAAAGAAAAACTAAGCTTGAATTTTATACTTTTTTTATGTTAGGTATTAATTGTCTATGGCATGTGTTGCAGATTCCAGTGGATATGGTTGCCAATGCCACAATGGCTGCAATTGCAAGACATGGAGCTGCTGCAACACCAGAATTAAACGTGTACCATATTGGATCTTCTTCTGAAAACCCTATTTTATTAGGAGACATTTTTTACTATGCTTGTGGCCATTTTAACTCGTTTCCATTGCCAAACTCAAATAATGGAAATAATCCAACTTGCATTAAGAGCATGAACTTCTTCAGCTCCTTGGATGATTTCTCTTCTTTTTCAATGGAAATGGCAAGGCAAAGTGGATTATTGTTGGATTCTACAAACCTTGAATCTAACCTCCATAGAATCCTTCAAAACAAGTCCATAAAGAAAACAGAGATTTTTATTCACATGGCTAATCTCTATCGGCCATATACATTTTATAAAGTAAGGTAATTATATTCTCATAACTCTTAAGTAACCATGCATGATGGTGTTTTGTCATAGTACATATATAGCTAACTCGACTTAATAAGATACGACTTGATGGCATTTTTGTTGTATTAGTGATTGATTTTTCAAAGATAAATCTCTTTTTGAAATAATTTCTAACTCAACTCCAAACAAGCGTACAAATTTTAGATGCAATCTCATCTGAGAATGAAAAAAAAAAAAAATGATTGACTTGCTTACCAGTTTCTTTCTAATATAATTAGACTTGATCTGTATAAGCATTTCTTTGAATTACTTTTTTGATTAATTATTTTCCCCACATGTTCATAAACATTTTTTATTCTCAATTTACAGAGGAATATGTATTGAGTATGTGGGGTACTATATATACTTTTGTAGATATATAACTTGCGGCATTGAACATGGAGTGTGGTGTTTGGATTTTTGGCTAGGTTTAACAATGGCAATACACAGAGGTTACATGGAGGAATGTCTGGCGAAGAGATGAAGAACTTTGGATTTGATGTGGAAAGAATGAATTGGGAGCAATACATATCCAACATTCACATCCCAGGTGTGAGGAAACACCTCCTCAAGTGTTGAATTCTTGAAGCGGAGGACTCAATAATAGCGATTCAATCAGCAGATATATGATATTAATTAATTACTATTAAGTTTTTAATTATGCACATTTCGATGTTCATGTAAGAGGATGATATAGAAGAAACATGGGAAAACTAATCTACCAATCCTTACCGTTATACCACATTTTTAATCAGACCCTTTGAATTTTTTTTTCCCTTTTAATTGAATCCTTGAGGTTATCTCCGTTGGATGTGTTGGTCATTCTCCTTCCAAAACATTATACTATCATCATAAGAAATAAATTAGAATAAAGTGATGCTCTCTTCAACTCTGTTTTTAGGACCCAAAACAGAGGTTGATAAAGTATGAAGCTAGATGTAATTGAAATATTGTAATGAAAAAAATTAATTCTCCTGCATTGAATGATGCAATTGTGGAGAAAATATGTGAGGGGATTTCGATGATATTCATGTCTTGTTTCACCTTCTTAACTGTGACTGGAATGCTCTCCTTCAAATTCATATTATTTATCTTCAGTTCCATTTCTTAACTATGATTCCATGATTATGAGCACGTGTTTCAAAAAACAAAAAAACAAAAATCGTTACTGATATCAAGGCCACTATGACGATGCTTTAAATCCATCATTCATTATTCAACAATGTATCAGTATGAACTATTATCAAGAATTCCTCCTAAGTTTGTAATGTTGAATTTTTTTTTTATCTAAACTAGGAATTATATGAAAAATTTAGACGGTCATAATTATTGGCGAGCGGTTAGAGAAGACTCAGTCAGGAATTATCCTTTTTTTTTTTTTTCAAAACATTGGCAGAAACATTCCTATAACAAATATTATATTATACAAACACTCTCTATTAACCAGAAGTTTTTATTTTTTCGCTGAAATTAAACAAATCTGAAGTTGATTCTTGAAAATAGAAAGAAGATCTGTGTATTTTTCTTTGTTCTTTTTAATGGGAGTTGTCCAATGCTTGTAAATCAATCACATGTACATGTAGTACTCTAAATAAATATCAAATATGAATTTAAAAAAAAATCAACGACTTTAAATTAATGTTCAACAAGTTTTTCACTAACTTCACAGAACTATAAATAATCCTCAAAGCTCTGGAGAAGTTTGGCAGAGTTTCAGAACACCTATTCACCTTCATCTCCAGGTGATATTTCACCAATAAATAAGAGAACATTTTTTTTTTGGTGGACGTTTATTTTTACATTTAGTTCGAGGAAATTAACAAAGCCAGAAACTAGCTAATAGAAGAATACCGACTTTAGATACTACTTATTGCTCTTCAAAACATGCTTTCTCAGTCCTGGAATGTGAATGCTGCAGATGTACTCCTCCCAATTTATGCCCCCTAGATCAAACCAAAACTCTCTGATCTCTTCCATGGACATCTCTTCCATTAACTTTTGTGCATTCCCAATGTCAAACCTTGCAAAGAACATCAAATCCTATGTTAATTTGTATGTAATATAGTGCCAATGAAAAAAAAAAAATGATACACATATATAGTACTGTGTTTGTCTATCCATGTGTGTGCATATTTTCTTTCTCTTACCTTCCTTTATAGAATGTGTAGGGTTCATAGGCTCTAGCCATTTGAATAAAATGGCGTGCTCTTTTATTACATTGAAGTATGAGTTTAGTATAGCGGTTAGGTTCAAGAGAGATTGGCTCCATCAGACCACTTTTCTTTTCCATTTCTGATGATATGAAAGCTGAAAAAGCATCAATGGACTCAAAAAACTTCATTTTGGAGATGCTAATATCATTCCCTTTTGGGTCAGAAAGTGGACAACATTTGAAATGCTTGTACCAATAATCAACCATATCTCCAAATGAAATTGGATTTATCATTGATGATCCAAAGTGGTACACAGTTAGGTCAAGATTGCCAGAATTCGCATGCTTTGCCATTACAGCTATTGCAGCATTCACTACCATATCAACTGGAACCTGTGAAAATTAAAAAGGAAATCACACACACACAGAGATATATGTACATACTGTGTTTGATATCAGAATTAAAACAGTCTGCTATCTAGTTGAATGTACTTATTACCATGTCCAAAATTGCTTTTGGGTCTGCAACCTTTCCTGGAAGCTTGCCCTTTCCATAGGATAAAATAAATGGATCAAACATTCTGAGTTTTTGACACAAAAATAAGCACAAGTTAATGAGATGGAAATAATATATATTGTAAAATTTCATGGGATTTGTATTATGATATATATATATATATATATGTAAAACACGTGTGTGTATGTGTGTGTAGCAGTACCTATTTCCTTCTATCCATCCAGGGAAAGGTTCTTTGTAGGTACTGCCAATCACAGTTGGACGAACAATAGCAATTGGTATATCACTTTTCAAGCTCGTGATCATCATCTCACCCATTGCTTTCGTAAACGAATAAGTGTTTGGCCATCCATGAATTTTGGCCCTACAAAAACAACAGCGTTCATTTTGATTAAACGATGCATGCATATGACTAATTGATTCGCTAGGCCAATTATTTCCATACATTATTGGACAAAAAATCTGAAAAAGGAGTTATATTATTTCTGATGAGCTTCTGCTTAAGCATATACTGTACGTACCTCTCAAGACCAAGTATCTTCATCTCTTGAGCTGCTTCGTTATCATTAACAAGATCCATTGGATTTGTTGCCAACCTCATTTCATTATCAATATCAAGCCTGGGAACAGATTTTTGGTTTTTTGAGATATTATTCCTCTTCCAAGAAACATTATTCTCTCCCATACATAATGGTCTTTCTTGTATTATTTTCTCTTCTCCATCACTGACATAAGCTGTAGGAAGTACACACATTGTTTATTATATTAGACAAATCAGTTTACAATATGAGTACTATAGAGTGTACGTAGAGCTTGATAATTAAACAAATAGACAAACCTACCTGTTGATATGTGAAGGAAAAGGCAGATATTATTGCAAGTCCTTGCAAAGTTCAGGAGATGAGATGGCCCTTTTGTGTTGCTGTTGAGAGCAACATCATACCTAAAATAGATTTTCCAAGAAGAAGCTTGGATTTAAGGGTGGATTTAATTTTTGTTTCCAATTATAATATTTTTCTTATATATTTAAAAAAGATGTTGTTGACCTCTTTTTTCGGGCCCAAAGTGAATGCAAAATAATATTGTATATTTACATAATTTTGTGAGTTTTTTTGTCATAATATTTGTGGGTATTTTATTAATTTTGAATAGTTAGACTAAGCAAATATAAATATTAATGTCATGTTTATGCAAAAAATATTCTATTAGAAATGGAACTAGAAATGGATTCATCTGCATGTTTGGTAGTCTAGATTTATGATTCCAACTAACTCACTTCCATTAATAAGTCCAATTGTCTTTCCTTACATAAGTCCAATGAAATTGTCTTTCCTTGATTGAATTGAGCGTCGTGACATTTTTTTCTCCCATTTAATACATGTTAGGACCATATTGCTTTTGCCAAAAGCAATTTCTGACCATTTTGCCCTTGCCTCTCTCCTTCCCCTCTCCTCTCTTGCCCCTGCTCCCTCACTCCCCCTTCAAATTTGAAATTTCTCTCTCTGGCAGCTCCCTCATCCAAATCTCTCTCTCCTTTATCTCTTTCCTCCTACACCCTCTCTCCCCTCTACTCTCCTTCCTCTCTCTGTCTCTCTCGCCTATCTTAATTTTCTCTCTCCTCCTCTTTCAATTTGATGCTTCATTTTTCTATTCTAAATTAATCTTTTGAAAACTCTTCCATCATACCAAGAGCCCTAGAGATTAGAGGTTATTGCAACAAGACTAATACATCAAGCAAGGACATGGCTTTGGTACATATTCTTTATTTGTTAATGTGGTGCAAGCTTTTCTTATTTGGATATGTAGTTTATATGAGATTTAAATTATCAAATAACAACTACCTTAAAAAATAACAAATTGTTGTGCTTATATATTCTTTACGTACCTGTCATCAAATTTGGTGCTGGCTGCTGAATTTACAAGGACATTCACTTTCGTTGCAATTTCATTGGCTGTGAAAGGGTCCATCCCAAGATCAGATTCACAAACACACCCAGGCACTGCCACTAGCTTGCTCATCACCAAGGCCTTGTAGTTTTTTCCGTACACTTCTTCAAGGCTCTTCAACAGTTCAGAGTCTATGATCTGTGTATGCAATTTATTTTATTATTAATGAGATTTATGAATACTACAATTTATTTTTCAAATTCCCCATAATACACAAATTCATATCTATTTAGTTCATTTCAATATCTGTAGTATAAAGGGCATCCAGCAAATAAATGAAACTTTAAAAACTCAGTTCCCATTCTTTACATGTTCTTTGACATCAACATGCAATATAAAATGTAAATATATGGCAAGTTATGATGCTCACAATAAAATGGAACAAGATGACTCTTTTCTCAAATTTCATGAAATTTATAGGGGGCTCACTTAAATCAGTATAAAATTTATATCAGAAGCCACAATTTACAAGTTATAAACAGTGCATGGAAAATGTCTAATTACGTGAACTATGTTCGAACAAGTATAAATAAATCTGTACCTATATATTCATCAAAACTCATTAAGAATATTTTTCCAAAGCAGAGACCTCGAGGTCTAGTTTTGGAATAGATTTACTAGAGGACTAATGTTTTGAAAAACTTGGACTCTATATATCTCATTTCTCTTTATAAGAGATCTCTCTATAAGATAAGGATGATGGGAAGAAGTTTGATGCAAAGATGTCTTATTATATTACCTCAGTTTTTAATCTGTTTAACGCTGCGTCCTTGTCTTTTGCTCTGATCAAGACAAAAATTTGGCCTATATCAGGTGCTGTTCTCAACATCTTCTCAAGAAAAACTGCAACAATGAAGATAAGTTTTTAGAGAAACATAATCATCAATAAAGTAAACCTTTATTTCAATCTATTATCAATAAATTTAACCTTATCCACAAAGCAAGTGCATACCTTTTCCTAGAAAACCAGTAGCACCAGTTATAAGATAATTCTTTCCCTGAAGAAACCTGGCAATACCAATTCCATGGCCATGTTTCTTCCTTTCTGAGTCACTTTCTCTTTTTGGACTGTAAACAACACTACTGTTAATGTTCTTAGGCTTCGTCTTGTTATCAGAAAGATAATTTTTCATATGGCTTCGTTTCTTGCTATTGATGGTTTTGGGAGATCCATAATGAATTGTTTGAGGTTTCAACAACGGAAAGGAAAAGCTAATATTGAGAGAAGAAAGCATTGCTTCAATAGCCAAGAGACTGATCAGTCAGGGATAGATAGATCGGTGCTCAAAGGGTTTGGCTTCTGGGCTGATTCATTTGCATGAGCTTGTGAGTGAGGACGCTGGACCAGCCTCACTTAAATAGGAAACTATTAGCTATAGGGGTCCCATAGAAGAGAAAGTTAGGTGAGATCTTATTAAATATCATTGGAGTGATGAGTCTATGATCTCTAATTAGAGTTCTCCTGAATAGGCTGTGTCCGGTTCGTAATCATCATTAATAAAGAGCGTTGTAATGAAATCCAAGATCCACATGAGAAGTGATCATGTTTTAGAAGAATCCAATTTGGTTTAATTTAGTACGGTTTGAACACTCCTTGCTCATGTCTTAATGGGAATTAACCATTAGGAGAAAACTCTTGTAGCACGTCCCAGTGGGATTCTTCGTTCTACTTTAATATTGAGGTTTGGAGGGAAGAAATAAAAAAATGATCAAAATATTTTTTTCATATTAATAATCAATTTTGTAAAGTCATGTCCTTAATTTCTTTTCTGGTCAGAATCATCTAGATTTCATGTTGTTGTAAGAAAGCTTGTAAAATAGACTTTCCAAAGACACGGTAGGATCCATTGGCCAAAGGCACCAAGAAACTTTCGTTTATACTGAGTTTGGCAGTTTGCACCAATTCGTGGTTCGGGGTGTGAGTATACGTATGTTTTGTTGTTGTTTTTTTTAATTGCCTACATGTATTCTCTTATTTGAGACAATTTTGATGAGATATGATTACGCATTAAATGTGAGTAACTCTTCCAATGAGAATTTAAACCTCAATTCATCATATTAGTGTTTTCACCATATCTTTATTAACCCTGGAGCCTGATTTAAAATGATGGATAGAAGTTAAAAAAAGAAATTAGAGGAAGAAAAAAGATTTAATCAAGCATATAATAAATAAAAATAATATTAATATAAAATATAAAATTTATGATTAATCATGGCCATAGCATATAACATATTAAATTCATTTAGTTTCGTCATTTTTTACTTGTTACAACTAATACCAATGAGAGATTTAAAAAACGAATTGACAAAATAATTATTTAATTATACAAATTGAAAATCCTCATAATCTCAATTGAAAACGGCCACATTTTTTTCCCTAATTCATTATTATTTAAGAAATTTTTTCATATTGAATCTTCCACCATTTTGAACTCGTATATACTCCCTCTATCTTAATTTATAAGATATTTTTAAATAAAATCACACGTAACAATGAAAATCATTAAATATGCTTTATAACTTTACTTTTTCAAAAAAAACATATCATTCATTTAATACACTATTTGTAAAAGAATATTAAAGAAAGATAATATATGAGAAGGGTAATTTTAAAAAATGTCATTAATAAAATTTTATTTTTATTAAAGTGTTTTACATTTTAGAATGTCGAACCTTTCCAAAAAATATCTTATAATTTGAGGCAAAGAGAGTATTAGTTTTCAATTTAGTGATTAATATTTTTAAAGGGTAAAATAGCAAATTGGCCCCAAAATAATAATAGGTTTAGAAGCGTCTGGTATCTTAAACTTATTTTTTATGTAATATTCTCCTTCAACTTTTAAAAATAGTGCAATTTGACTCATGTCATTAATAAAAGTTAACTTTGATCATTAGTTAAACAAAAAATAAACTCAAAAATTTCAGAAAAGGACAAAAAATTACAGTATATGAGCCAAAAATTATCAACAATGACTCAAAAATTACAGAAAAGAATTGAAAAAAAATTATTGATCATTTTCTATAATTTTAAGGTCTTTTTTTATTAACTACTGGTTAAAATTAATTTTTATTAATGACAAAAGCCAAGTTGCATTATTTTTAAAAGTTAAAAAGATTAGGAACCAATTTACACTTTTATCTTTTTTTTTTAAATTGACAAATGAACATGAAAAAAGGAAAAAGGAGAAAATGTTTAGTTTCCAGCTCAAAGTATCCCTGTCTACAACCACCCTGTCCTTCATCCTTCAATGATATTAATGTTATGACTATTATAGTTACTATAGTACAGTATTTCACTTTCACTGCTCCTTGTCTGTACATTATGTTCAAACATCGATATCGAGAAAATTAATAACAAATTTGATGTCAGATATCATTTCCATTTTTTGGCGTAAAATTTTAAATCATTTAAGAAAGAGAAAGACGTATTGTATAGAATATAAACACGTATAAGTACAACGTTAAGGCTCCACTATTAAAATCCGTGGACGTACAGTTAAATAAATTCTACGCTTAATGTGTGCGTTTGCAAAATTGAATTCAATGATCAGTACTATAAAGTTGTCGTTTTCATTGAAGAACCTATGTGGTAGTTAGTTATACTATACTAAGGATGGCAAAAAGAGCAGATGATTTTAAAGAAGACAAGGCTTTGCCATAATTTCTATGCATGGAAGGAGAAATAAAAGCATATGCAGTGTCGTGGAAAAGATTGATATATAGCCAGGACATACAAAAACATAAAATAAAATAAAAATAAAAGCACGCAACTTGAACCACTTTTAAAGGCATGCCTGAATGTTAGTAATAGTTAAAAAGATCATTCAATGTGCCTCTGAGTTTAACTAATCCAGATTCTCTTAATTAATAATACAATTTGTATAATTGAAGATATATATATATATATATATATGGATTTCATTTGATTTCAGGCATGAAAAATAATTTTCCTTATACATCTGTCTCTTGATAATTGCATAGATTGATTGTATGATAGAATATGTATCTAATAGTACTATAGGTTAAGGGAGACCAAGATAAACGCAATAAATAAAAGGGGACTATACATGTTTATTATTCACATAGATGATTTTCATCATAATTAGATGATTTTGAAGATAGATATTGATACGCACAAAATTTTAAACACACCACAAGTATATGAATCTAACGTAATATACCTAATCAAAGTCATCTCACAAAGAATTAATTAAAAGAAATTGGCGTAAATGAAAGTTGTTTTCATTTCAATTAAGCTATCTAAACAAAAAAAGTAAAGTTCTTGTTATATTAAAAATATAAATAAAATAAAATAATGTCAAAGAATATGTCTGAGGAAATATCAATAATTAAATAGCTCCTAGGGAATTCTAATCTCCTTTAATACTTTTCAATTCAATGTCTTCTAGTTATCGTGTTTTAATTTAACTTAAAAATTAAGGCTTTAATTTAAATTGTGTATCATGTTGATTACAAAATTTGTGATCTAACTCTACTATAATGTTTCAAGCAAGTTCTGATTCAATATGCACAAGCCTTAAAAAGTTACCTAACTCTTGAGTATATATCTTTCTCAAGCATAAATTAAATTAATTTCAATATTAAGTTGTTTTATGCATGATCTACTTGAGATTTCTTTTTGTCAAAGGCAAATTTCAAGATCTACACACATACTAATGTTGGCCATCCAATAATATGAGATCAAAATAAATCATATTGAGCATCAAAAAACTCATCAAAATCAATAACCAAAAAAAAAAAAAAAAGAAATCTACAAAGCATTGAAGACTCATGGAATCCCCACGGATGAAAGAAAAAAACTAATCACTCATGAGAATTAAAGGCATAGTAGAAGAAAGAAGAGAATTTAGAAAAAACCGCTCAAGAAGGTTCATGAAGACTCTCCAAACTTCAATCTAGCCTCCAAGCCCTTAGTTGATGCTACAAAATAGAGTTCTTACTTTCAGATATAAACTTCGATGCTTCTAGAATTTGCAAGCGCTTTATTTTTGGCTTCTAATTTTCGTCTTATCTTATCTGATTTAATGAGATTTTATTTAATTCCACGTTTGGATTTTAAATACGAGTATGCCACGTGTCTGCTCCCACGTCCAAGCGCGGTCAAACGACAAAGGGACCATTTCTGCGAGCTCCTCTATGCGTGGTCAAACGTCAAGCCTTAAGATGTCCGCACATGGTGGAATTTTCCTCATGTAGTCTCCGCGCGTGGATGAGTTTCTAGCGGATGGTCTTCTTCACGTTAGCTGCGCGTGGGGGTGGAGGCTTTGCCTTCTTCACATGTCACGAGCGGACGTGGCTAAACTCGGTATAGATCCTCCCCTCTCTTGTGTCCATGTGCGGAGATAACTCAGTTTTCCTTGGGCCTGATGGTGGGCTTTGACCTTGCTCTTGCCTGTTTTAAGCATCTTTTTGTTCCCATTTTTCTTTCTTTTTCTGAAAACACCTTAAATTGATTGAGTGGAACATTTCATATTCTGTTCCTCTAAATTTTTATCAAAATAAAAAAATAAATAGGTAAAATATAACAATAGATTTATGTAAAATCCCCACTTATCAAATATTAAAACAAGGTCAAAAAAAGAAAAGATAGATGCCAAAAAAAAATTCTTTTTGGAAACAAAATTTAAATCACTATTGTAGTTATACTATATTTCATAGTAATTAGTATAACGATGCAAATATCTCATTTATTTTCATAAAGCATGATGGGTCGTGATAAAAGTATAATCATTAACAACTATTCTCATCAAGTGATTTTTTAAAAAAATATAATGAGTGTATTCTTTTGTCCACTTATTAATATCTTTTTGTTTATTAAGACCAAAAGATAGATTTTTTTCCGACCAGGTTTGGTGTTCGTATGTGTGTGTATATATATATATATATGCAAGGGTTGAGATTAATGAAATTCACATTCACTTAGTAAGAGCTCATACTACTCATATATATCAATCTAAATGGGTTCATTAACTACTTTTATCATAAGCATGTGCATCTTCCGTCATCATTACCGTGAGATGGTAGTAGGAGTTCATGTGAATCATAAGATGCCATCAGAGTTAAGGAAAAATGTAGAGTCACTATATTTGGGGACTTAGTATAATGAGGTATAATAATTATATTGTAAATAATTAATTTTAATATAATTTTATTTTTAAAAAATATTTTAAATAATGTGCCTAATATATATTGTTACAAATTAAAATTTTCGAAATTAAAATAAAACAATGAAAATCTCACTGTCTAGCAGCATTAAATTTTGCAGTTAATACGGATGGGTCCTGAAACAAT